CTTTCCCTGTCCCTAACTCAGTACATAGAGACCAGTTCTTGCAGTTGAGTTTCACTGCTATTCAGCCAGAAACACCATTGGAAAATGCTGACAAAAGGCAACTGTGCTGCTCATTAGCATATTTATAGGAGTACAAACCATTCAAGGCTCTAATTCTATTTACTTTACTTGGCTGTATCAGCAGCCTTGAATGTAGGAATAGGGACATCAGTACGTACCTCAGCAAGTTTCCAAAAACTTTTGCTAGTGTCTTGTTAAAACTTGTTTCCTGTCCTCTGAAAGGTACAGCTGTCCTTTAAAACAACAGTAATGTTTTGTGTTCTCCTGGACATTAAATGTTGATTAGAAGTCAGTGTTGAGGCTGCTCCTTCTATTGTTTTTGAAATCTGCTTCGGGAGCCAAGGATTCACAAGGAATATAATATTTTGTCAGTGCTACTGGTAAGATACAGAACCCAGTGGAAGACAAGGTAACTACAGTGAGGCTTTTATTTACTGATGTCATAGCAATTACTATAAATACTACAGCTGGAAACAAATTCAAATTTTACAAGCTCCTTCACCTACAGTAACCAGCTTTTGAAGGTACAATGTTTGCATTTAAAGTTCTGGAAACTGATGCAGCATTTGGGTCTCCTTATAAAGGAAAAGTAGGCTGCAAGATCTCATTTAGAAACACATCATACACAGAGTGAGATTCATACGACTGTGGCTTTGACTATTCTTTAAAAAAAAATGAGCTTCAAAGAAAAAACTGGAGGCACTGGAGGAGAGCCAAAAAAGTCATACTCGGTATGCAATGTATTAAAAAAAGCTGGATCTCTGACAGAACAAAAAATTTATCCCTATGGGGTTGTTTTGTTTTGTTTTTTAAGCATGAAGACCGCTTTGCACTGACAAACCTTATTTTAACACAGTATAGAAATGTATTCCTATCTAGCAGGCCTTTCAGAATGCTTTCCAAAGTTAGATAAGTAACTGAAAAAGGTACAAGAGTTTATCCCTTAAATTTGCAGCAACACTTTTTACTTCTTTATCGAAACAGTTGGAATAAGGATGTTTCAAATCAAAATCTGACCAGCATTTTTTAGCATATTGTCTCTTACATATTCATAAATCCAGTTAAAAAATGAAAACTCCATTACAAATAAAAATGGAAATTACAATAAAAAACATTGAATTAATTACATTTTAAATGTGATATCTGGAAGGATATAATAATAAACTGTTTATGACATATCCAGAAGGACATAATAATAAATTCTCTCATTTTTACTCTCACTAAGTATTGCAATCTTTCTTTCACTTTGCTCTAATAATGCTTACTTCATAAGCAGTATTTGTTAAGAAATCTGTAATTTTAAGATAAGTTCATAAAAAGTTGGGTTTTAGTAATAATTTTAATAATTATTATTTTTTAAGGCCTACTTGTTTAGAAGATTTAATATTGTGTATCAGTTTAAGTAGGACTTTGACACTTCAGTGTCTTTGTGAAGCTGTCACTACGTTATTTAGCAGCACAAGTACTAACAGAAGCTATGAGTCATTCAGGCTGTAATTCCACAGTGTATTTCTCTCGTTGGCAAAGCTGATTTAAGCAGTTCCTGCCACCAACTCTATATCTTACCTGGTCATTTGGTCTCTTCACCTTGCCCTGAGCCCTTCATTTTAATCCTTCGTTTGTGCCAATACTAAGGTTTGTCAGGCTCCCAGGTGAACCAGACTGGAGAAATTGTATTTTAAATAGCTATACAAACCCGCCTCTCACATTTTCACAGAGAGATTTCTAACTTGGAGGAGGTCCCTGATCAAAATAACCACACTGTGTGCTGAGGTTGACACGCTGGAGGGGAGGGATGCCATCCTGAGGGACCTTGACAGGTTTGAGAGGTGGGCCTGTGCAAACCTCATGAAGTTCATCAAGGGCAAGTGCAAGGTCCTGCACGTGGGTCAAAGCAATCCCAAGCACAAATACAGGCTGGGCGGAGAACGGATTGAGAGCAGCCCTGAAGAGAAGGACTTGGGGGTGTGGCTGATGAGAAGGTCAACATGAGCCATCACTAGCAGCCCAGAAAGTCAACTGTATCCTGGGCTGCATCAAAAGAAGCGTGACCAGCAGGTGGAGGGAAGTGATTCTCCCCCTTTCTTCCACTGGAGTACCACCTGGAGTACTGCGTTCAGCTCTGGAGTCCCCAAAATAAGAAAGACATGAACCTGTTGGAGCAGGTCCAGAGGAGGGCCATGAAGATGGTCAGAGGGATGGAGCACCTCCCATACAAGGACAAGCTGAGAGAGTTGGGGTTGTTCAGCCTGGAGAAGAGAAAGTTCTGGAGAGATCTTATTGTGGCCTTCCAGTGCTGAAAGGGAGCTACAGGAGAGATGGGGAGGGACTCTTGATCAGGATGGGTAGTGACAGGATGAGGAGTAATGGTTTTAAGATAAAAGAGGGGAGATTTAGGTTAGACATTAGGAATAAATTTTTTACTGTGAGGGTGGTGAGGCAGTGGCCCAGGTTGCCCAGAGAAGCTGTGGATGCCCCATCCCTGGAGGGGTTCAAGGCCAGGCTGGTTGAGGCTTTGAGCAACCTGGGCTAGTGGGAGGTGTCACTGCCCATGGCAGGGGGGGTTGGAACTGGATGATCTTTAAGGTCCCTTCAAACCCAAACCATTCTGTGATTCTATTATAAATGCCTGCAGAAATCATCCTGATGCTGAGGATTATTACAGGTATTTTTAAAACAGCTGCTTACAGTTAGAGGAAGAATTTCTAGACTGTATATCCTCAAAGATTTCCATAGTAGGAAACAGCATTGAAAACATGGCTTGGCTCCTTAGTACAAGAATATACATAACACTACCAGACTATTCAAATGCCCTGCACTCTACAACTAAAATGCTTTAAGAATTCTAAACTAATTTCTCTGTGAACAATTCTGGTACAAAATACCTTGAAACCAATACACTACCAAGTTAGAAAGCATCACATAGTTCTTTGTTGCATGCAGTAAAGGGTATTTAGAGGGCACACTTGTAATGCATCAAAGCTCTATTACTTTTTTGTAACAGCAGGGTAAAAAGAATAAAAAGAGAAAAGGTTACTCTGAGTACTGCAATAACTTACTGGTCCTTTAGCCACTCGTTAACAAAAGGAATGGAAAAGAATTCTGTGAATGACTCATCTTTCCTCTTTGGGTTCTTGCTGATAACAAAAAAAAAAAAAACAACTCATATTAATTTAAGTTGTAGCTATTCTATTTGCCAATTAATGCCTTTGAATCACTGAGCATAATTAATAGTATAAAAGCCATGATTAACTTACTTGTATAACCACTCAGTTAGGAAATCACAGGCAATAAATTTGGTCCTTTTCCTCTAAAGATAGAAAATAGTTTCAAATTATTTATTATCTTTGGATTGGTCACATGTTTTTAATACTGGAAAGGAACAGAAGCTAAATTGACTGGTTTTATTAAATAAAACATACAGTACATTACTCTGTCTGCTTTAATACTGCTACTGCCAACAGTCAGTGGCTCAGCCAAAATTTTAGAAATTTTGTGGAATGCTTTCAAGTCAAGTCAAAAAATGAGTAAGAAAATTCTACATATGTTATCTGGATATTTGCTGCAGTAGAGCTATAACAAATATCTCAGAATGCTGTTTTTTCGAAGTGTCAATCTCATTGCAAAGAAATTAACAGAACTCATATATGAAAATATGTTGTAAATTACTTGCCATTTTGTTCAAAGTTCTTTATCATACTTAAAATACTTCATTGCTTTCAAGGCACAGCAGGAACATTCATGGAGTATTGCTTCCTCCTGCGTGGAACCACTTTGAAGGCATTGTGAATACTTAAGAAACACACACAGCAGAGTATTGTATGGCTGCTCAGACAAAATCGTCCATTTGGTAGTCCAGAAAGGAAGGCAGAAACAAGGTATATGTATATCCACAGCCCCGGACACCATGGACATTACAGAGAATCAGATAAAAAGTTCAAAACCTGGAGCTTCGCAGCAAAACATTTGTGCCCTTTGCTCCCAGTACTAAGAGTTCTTCACCACTGAAGAGAATTCTGCAAAATGCTGTGCAGCGGGTTATCCTTAGTGACTCAGGCAGCCTGGACTTGTTTAGCTGGGCAGAATTGCATGCTGTAAAATACGTTTTGAGTTCAAAATTCAAAGCAGGAATTTTAATCAATAGAGAATTGAGTAGGGCCTTCCTCCTTCCTTTTCCTAGAGATTTCCTCTCCGCATTCCATCTTTACAGATTGAATGTATACACGAGTACAGGTGCTTATTCTGCTTAACACAAAGGAGTAAGCATGATGTGGAGAATATAACATAGACTTCTGGTCAGAATAACAGAAGAGCTTGACTAGCATCTTCTGAACCCCTCTTACACAAGATATGTTATGGATGCACACAGACAGAGAGTGAACACTAAAAGACAGTAAGGCCCTGCAGAACAGAGGCACTGAGTGCTTTATGAAAATAGCAGCCATTTAGCGAAGAAGCAGCCCACCTCCCATCCAGAATGTAATACTTACCCTGTCAAATGGGAGATTCAACTGCAATTATTACTTTTAAGGAAAACAATTCACAGTGGTCAAACACATTTGTGAAACTGCTAAATGTCACGAAAGAGGCTAGACTCTTGATTAAAATGTAAGAAATGAACATACTACTGCCACTTGCTAAGAAAAATACACTGAATATGTAATCAGAAATTTAATGCATGATGGATGACTTTATTCTATGTATTATCCTCATCATCCATTTTTCTCCTTGTGCTACGAGAGTATGATGCAAAAAGGACTGGGGGATGTGAACAGAGAGGCAGTAAGAAAAACCTCCTCTATATGGCATAATTCTTTCTGTTTGGGGTATTAGCACAGGGCATAATCTGCGGGTCAGTGTCTTACTTCAGCCATAGGAGAAGTGGAAGAAGAACACTATGTTAGGAGCTGACTGCCCAGCAGTGGATCCTGGGTAATCATGTAGCTAAGGGATGACAAACGTGAAGTTTAGAGCTAGACTGCACGATATTCATATACAATACCCAAGAAAGCTGTTACTTTTCTAAGTGAATCTTATCCTTGGTAGACAAACAGTCTGACTCCCACAGAAAAGAAAGAGAACTTCTTTGGAAAAAAAAAAAAAAGGCAAAAGAACAGAAAAAGAGAATATTGCAAAACCATTATCAGTCCTGAACTCCATGTGCCTTTATGGTCTGTTTCATGACAAAAAAAGCTTTGGGGTGCATGTAACGCTCCATTAGAGTGCTAGGCTGTGAAGAAACACATCTACTTAAGGAATTTTCACACTTGTCATTCTAATAGCAGATACTGTTTTGAGACACTAAACACCTAAGCTTTAAGAGACCAACACCTTCACTGAAGAGCTTTCTACTGCTCATTTTAGAAGTTAAATGGACAAATTCTGACTTGAACAGAATCTGAAAACAAATAGCAGAGTCTGATAGTCTTTGTATAGCTATTCTCAATCACAATATGAAATGGGGTCCCATTACTTAGTGAATTGTTTCAGAGAATAAGTTCTATAGTTTGACAACAAAATTCAATTTAATCTAGCAGTTGTAATTTAATCTAAGTAAACTGCTTTTCCTTTGCAACAGGAGAAAAACGATCAGAACAGTGTTGTCAAAACAGTCATCACCAAAGGAATCCAATTCATCTTGCTTTACCCTTGTAGATCCAGTGAACTTATCAGAGAGGAATTTGATCAAGCTGAATATTCTTTTATTTTGTTATTTTTTTGCTAGGAAACAGTTCACTTTGGTAGTGAATTAAATCAAGAGTTGCACAGCAGTCAACATTTATAGAAAGGAAAAAATGACATAAATTGACCTGCCTTTGACACATTCCTCCTATGCTGCATGAATCAGGATAAACACAGGAAATATCTGCACAATGTGCATTGTTAGCCTGCAGATGTGTTTATAAACTATTTATACTCAGAATTAATTTTCAATTTTTCAGTCTAAATATGATGTCCTTGGTAATAAGCATGAAAAAATATTGGTGATCAGAAGATGGCAAAGTTATTAGGAAACCTTCTTCAATCCACTTTCCCTGATACTTTAAAATATAATATATTCCATTACAGAGTCTGATACAGTATCCTCTTTCTGTGATTGCTAACCAGAAAAAAAAGCAGAGTTATGCTAATAAAAACATTTAAACATTGTTCAGTTTTAATACTGAAAAATGAATGCATTAGTCAGTTGTCACAAGAGAAAAGATTTAAGAAAATGGTCTTTCCCCTGGAGACATAGGATAAAGCACAAGAGAACTTATGGTAGGGGAAAAAAAAACAGCAAGGGAATACACTGAGCAACCTAATAGGTTTCTTTCATCTCTAATTTACAAACGAAGCTTCTGCAGACTGTTCTCATATTTATGTCAGTTTGAAGTCTGCAAATATATCTAGCAGCTGGTGGTTTTTCTAGGCTTTCACTTTTCAGATTTTTTTATACCCACTATATAATGCAAGAAAGCCTATTTTAAATGAAATGTTTAAATTGTTATGCTTCTATATCACACTCCAAATAAGACCTTACCGTAAGACCTTACTACTTTCAGCATAACTGTCTCCCTTTCCTGACTTTCCCATCTGATTCTACAATTCTTCCTTTCCAGACATGGATGTGTCTTCTCTGATCTCTTCCTTTAATTCCTCTGATCTGATCTCCCTTACCCCAATTTCAATTGCTAAGCAACTCTCCTACCTAAATTTTCATTTCTCATTTGTCTTCAGCCCCCTTCAGAACATGAAAACCTGTAGTCCCTCTTCTCAAAACCCCACTCTTCACTCTCCCTTGCAATTCCCTCTCTCTTCTCCCAGGCTCATTCAATGTCAACTGCAGTCAGTTCAATTGTTCCTCCCTTTCTTCCAGTTCTTCCATTTATCTTCCTCTGGTTTATTCTATTGGAGCTGCCCTTTACAGTCTTTAATGACTCATGTCTAGCCAAAATTCAAACCCAGTATTCTGTTCTCATCCTTCATGATTTAAGTTAGCTTAATCACAAAAAATTATGTTCCTTTCCTGTTCTTTCACGAATTCCATGAATCTTTCTACTCTTTGTTCTCCTCCTATTTTTTGAAGCTATCTCCTGGTGTGTTTATCACAGGATCCTTTCTCCGGGTTTCTAAGGGCTCTGGTTTTGATCATAAAAATCAGTTCCAATTATTGCACTAACCATTTTAATGCAAATTATGGCATATTTTTTTCTTCAAATCCATATGGAACAACACATTTCTTATGAAACAAAAGTATAATCAGAAATTACATATTTAAGTCAGATAAGGAAACAGAATGTCCAAGTACAAGCACCTGGACAACAATGAAAAAGAATACAAATATTCAGTTATATGGTAAGCATAAAGTGCTATTGTTTTACTAGTTATTGTTAAAAAGGAAGAAGAAATGATGTCACAGTGGAAAATAATAATCTAACATATGCCTGCTTTCCCAAACTTCCTTCCCCAATAGCAGGACCTCTCTCTATAAATCAAAAATCACTTAGTGCCTTTTTAATAAGATGTTCCCATTTTTATGAAGATTCTATACCTTAGAAAATAACTGGTTTTATTAGTTTACTATAAAGCAACACACAGATCATATAAAATCCATTTTCAGAACAGACACTTTCTAATTTATATACCACTGAACCTCTGCAAAAATTCTCAGATTAAAAATAGACAAAGTAACCTTAGATTTGTCCTGAGTTTGAAATTGAAATATTTCTAAGAATTCCGATATTTTTATATTAAGTACTGTTTTATTGCCTTCAGAAATATGCAACATCTATCAAGGACTGTATTTTAAGCCATCCATAAGACATGCCTTTTTCCTGTTAAAGGATATGTGCTTCTTTTTAAAACAAAACGAATCAATACAAATTTCATTAAAAGTGTGATGAATAATATATATATGTGCAATCTGTTCTTGGTTAGGTAATGTAAATGTGATAGTAGGAATGATGTACAGAGATGCCATGCCATAACGACATTTCAATGAACCATTTTCCTATTTCACCTGTATTAATCACAGATGATAAATACATATACACACAGCCATAAATCAATGATTTTATAGACACACACAAATCTTGTGAAGACTGAGCAAAAACGAAATAACTTACTGTTACTAAATGTACAGATTTGGATTTGAAATGCAAGTTGGGGGTGTCCATTCAAGCATGATAAACTTTGGGTATTTTTGGCTGTGCCAGGCATCTACAGGTCAGTGGCAAATAGCACACATGTAATTTTCACAAACTTTTCCACAATGTCTGTTATCATGTATACATGTGCTGACAACAGGAAGTCAATGTTAGGAGTTGGAGAGGTGGCACATCAGGACCTAAGATGATTAATAACCCAGTGGTAACACAAAGTCTTCCTCACTTTGCTCTCATTTTAATCCATAACATTTTAATCTACAGCTACAAAAGAACAAACAGTATTCCTCAGATGTGCACCATGACATATTTTAATTGCCATTTATATTAACTGTCGTTTATATTATGAAGCTGCAAGTAAGAGGAGGTTCAGCTGCAGGCATAAAAACAGAGAAGTTTTACATTGGAAAGTATGGATGACAGGCAGAAAGCAGGAAAGAAATAGGAAAAAAATTACTTCCATGGTTGGAGAAAATAGCAGAAATTACGGAAGACCCTGCAACTCCCAGTACCTGATCTACTGCTGGGGGTCTGTGAGTTAGGCTGTGGTGATACAATGAGCTTTATTCTGCACTCGTTGTAGTCCTTTCTTAAGCATTTCCTATATACAATGAGGAATGTCTTTTTAGATGCATTTACACACACATACACTGAAAACAAATTTATAAAAATATATGCAGCAAATAATGTTTTTTAAAATGTACGATTTTTATAAGCTCATCTAGGCTAGATGCAACTGGATATTTCAGGAAGTTTTATTGTGAGTTAGAGAGTGTCATAATGATCAAGCATGTGTAGTACGGAATCTGTTCTGAGTTACTGAAGAAAACAACATTCAAGACCAGACCCAAAACAACTACTGATATGTTATTTCATATTATTGTGGTTGGTTTTCTCACAAAAGACCAAATAAAGAAATACAGCCTGTGAAATAAAAGGTTGTAACTTCCTGACAATGACTTAAACTGAAAACTAAAAACTAACCTCAAAACACTTCTCCTTCTTTGCTTGATGCAGTAGTTCGGCCATTCCGGGTAAGAGCACTGGAAATATGTAATACTCTAAGTAGTCTCGAGCAGAACCTGAGCAAAACAATACGGCCTTCACTTACAGGTAAACACTTAGATTTCACAAAAAGACAAACATTAGATATCATAAACTAAGTATCAGTCATTTTATTAATACCATTACAGCTTGAACTAAACAGATTCATTCAGTTCACATACAGCCACAGATCTGCCTTCACTTCTCTTCATCCGAGACAACATAAATTTGAGTAAATGTCAAACTAAAGGTGCATCACCACTGCAAACTAGTGTGCCTCAGAGATGTCAGACTTAGTTTTAAATGAGTAAACTCAGACAGCAGAAGCAGTTTAGCCACAGAAATGAAAAGTGATGTGGACTAATTTACTCTGACAGAAAGAAAAGTAAATTAGCCTGCACTAAACTCAGTGCTGTTACAGCTGGGCCACTTTTGGTATCTATACTCATGTCCTTTACAATCTGCAGTAACAGAGTTGGTCATAAAACTGAATTTCTAGAGAGAGGAAAAAACAAAGGTTGTATTTGTTGTATTTCAGTGGTGCCGTGATATCTTTCTCGTAATTACTTCCTACTGGCCAGAACCTTCAGAAATTTGAACATGACTCCATACATCCAATTTTTCCATCTTGAGAGGGTTGTCTGGGTTGGCATTTCTCTCTTACGTTTGACTGCACTGCCCTTACATGAGGGCTACCTACCCATGTGCTCACACACACTGGCATCACTGAGTTCCGCGCAGAAGAAAGCAGCTGCAGTCAGCATCACCAAAAACCAGCAGTGCTACTGCCCGTGCTCTAGGTTTTGCCGAAAGGTGACATGCTTGCTCAACCAAGAGACTCAAGCTCTCTTTCCTTCTCAGCCTCTTCACACATCTCCATCTTCCCTAATGGGATGTTTCACCATCAACTTAAGACGGGTGAAGTGGAGGAGCCTTCTAGCCCATCTGATGAAGACACTGCACATGGAGGAACTCAAGTTCACTGGGCCAGAAGGAACAGAGAGCCTGACCCTGTATGATGCCACAAGAGAACTCCCCTCAGAAAGGTGAACAGAACAAAACCTGTTAGGATCCTAGACAAGCAGGCAAGGTTTATTGGCTGAAGTGCTGTCTTTGATTTAAAGCCAGATGGCCTGCCAGTATTCATGATTTGGTGTGGTCAGTAAAGATTAAGTCATAGAAGTGTTCTCTTCTGGCAATGCAGCTGAAACAATTTATTCTGTGCTTTATACCTTTAATTGGTTCATATTCTGCCAGAAAATGTTCATAATTGGAAGGACACCATATATACAAAAGCCAAGGGTAACACTGCTTCTGACTAGCAACAGGAATTCTTAACGAGCAAGAATGGAAGAGAAGAAAAGACAAAAAGGAGGGCTAAAGTGCATAATAAAAATACATTGCTACTTGGTAAATTTTATAAAGTATAGAAATGATTAAAATGGAAGAACAAAACTTTAGGGCTGTTTCCATTCTAACTTGTAATCAGACATGCAAAGACAATATTTGAAAGCAGTTTTCAAACTCAATTGTCTATTTAGTCTGTTGATCCTGGTTTTGCATTATTAAATTAGAGGAAGAAATGCTTGCCTTTCTCTGATTTAAGTGGCTAAATAAAAAGTCACTCATTCAGAAGAGAACAGAACTACCTTAACAGCTAGACAATGCTACTGATTGGTAAGGCACCATTTGAGCATTCTTCCATTGACCAAGTGGCCAAGCTGACCCCCTGCTTACAGACCAGGGGACTAATCATGCACATTCCACTCAAGAAAAGATGTTGACACTATACATTCAACAAATGACAAACCCTTGCCAAATGCAAGAAAAATCATCACAGCAGGTTTCAAGATCATATACTCCTACTCACATGTTTTTGGATCAGGTCGTTCTGGAAAGGGGGCTGCCTCAGGTGTGAGAAGTGACTCTTGGACAACAGTATCAGCTGCAGCTGAATAAAATTTTTCCATATATAATGGCTCCAATATTCCTGCTTCCAAAGACACCTGTTAAAGATAAATGTAACCTATATAAATACCCCCAAAAAATTCATAAGCCAATTGAACAGGAAAAATCATAAGGTCAGATAAAAAATATGGAATTATAATTTCTAATTCCAATATTAAATAATTTCAGTGTTTCCAGAGTAATTTAAAATAAAGAATTACACTTTAAAAAATTCATCAGTTTCCAGCACAATAAAAACATCCAAACCTAACAGAAGGTATGTGACTGCTTTTAAGAGAATATGGTGGGATATCACAATTTAAAAGATATTTTGGCCATTGTTAGAAATAGTAATTCTTTGAAAATTGGCAACATTTTCTGAAGCTTATGTATTTGTTTCTGTATTGTTCAGAAGTCCTGACACTCACCTTTTAGACAAACCATAAACACAAATTCAGAGCAGATGCAAATCCAAATCTTAAGTTTCCACACAGAGAAACAATGGATACTATGAAAAAAGATAGTCTACAATTTTACATATATTTTTTAGGAATGCAGGAACTGTTACAGTGAGCCAGCAGAATACTCCTAACAGACCCTGAGCTACACGTGTTATAGAATAATATCCTCTTATCCCCAAGGATGCACCACCATTACAGTTTCCTATGAAAACGTGCTATGAAAACTATGTCATCTGAACAGTTTTACTTTAAAATTCAGTTGGATTTATGAGCTACTAAAAAGCACGTGGTGGGATCAGGCCACTACCCTTATATATACTGCATGTCAATGACCATGGATAGAATCCTTTTTAACATATGCAAGATGATCCTTTTGGAAATTAAAAGAAGTGCATCAACATAAAAAGGTACATTATTTCATTTGATGCTCAAGTATCTCAATATATTATGCCCAGACTAATGCCCCAAGCAGAGTTCACTATTCAAATAATACCCTAAAATGAAGCCAGTTTCATTTAGGGAAATAGAGTAGATCTAAGCAGACCAACTGCCACACAATTTAAACTACATCTTAAAATAGTTTTAAAATAACGAAGTAACCTAAAGACAGAATAATAAGATAAAACATCTACAAAAATGCCTAATTTAAATGAAAGTTAACTCTGTATGTGATGCCCAGAGAGTTAATTTTGCTGCTTCTAGAACTGCTGGGGACAAAGATTTCAAGTGTTTTGTCTTAAGTTTTTATGCTTGCCAAATAGATCTTCCTAGACTTAATTTATTTGGTCAAAACTAGACTTCAAACAACTTTGATCAGGCTTAATTCCACTAATTTCAATGGCCACACCAAAGTGACCTATCACATATGTGATATTTGGGGCATAACTCCTTTGCTGCACTAGCTCCCATCCTGCTTGGTCTGCTTGCAACATAACCCAAAGCAGATCCTTGCATACTTCAGAGTCCTGCCTATGAAGCAGACAGTCACAGAAAAAAGCAAGACGTACAATCCAAACACAGCTGGTAATCTAATTTTAGGATAGCACTACCCAAGTTGCTCTAAATAAAAGCAATGATTTGGAATATTACATTGGTTGATTCACTAAGTTATTTGCAAAATATAGTTTTATTTTCATTTTATGAATGAGTCTACTCTGCGGGTACCTAATTTTCCTATTTAGTTATTTAAAATCTTTTAAAACCAGCCCTATGCAGATTTTTTACTTCAACTATACTCACAGATCCACATTTTGATTCATGAACATCTGGAAACTGAGGCTGTTCTGCTTCATACTCTAAAAGTAAAAAGAAGTACAGCATTTATCCATAAGACTTTAAAAACGTATTCATTTTTCTCATAAACAAACATTACTTTCTAAAGGTACTTATTCTGGTTTGAAACAATAAAAATTAGTACACAACATATATTTGTTTAACATTAAATCTAACATTTTAAAACAAATTAGAATTTTAGAGCCTCTTAAGTAAAAAGTTTAAGGGTCTCAGTGGTAAAAGAACTCTTTATTGGCAAAAAGGTTTTCAACCAAAATAGTAATTTAAAATACTTTAATGTAAGTAAAATGCAGATGCTTGCATGGAATTAACTATTGGTTTTCTAGTATATAATGGTGCTTTCCAACTTGAATTCCTCTATAAGCAAATAAATCCCTAAGACATTGCTAAGTATTACTGTCTCCACTTTCAAAAAAAAAAAAAAAAAAAGGGAAAAGCAGTACATGACCCATAGAGATTATCAAGTGAATCAGGATAAGAACAATAAAGGAGAAGAGAAGGACAATGGGCCTGATGTGAAAAAAAAATTCAGATTACACAATCTGTAAGAAAAGAGGATTCTCGCAGCCAAACCCAGCAGCTTTACCATTCCACCATCCTAACCAGGAGGTGTACTGGCATCGCTACTGCCTTGTCTAGTAGAGATGCCTCAGCTGAGTCATATTAGAATAAGAAACTTTATTCCTACATTAAAAATGGCCAGTTTAACACAGAATACCTACTTTAAGGCATTATAAAGCACTAAGTGAGGAGAACCCCTCCTGAGCACCACAGTGCTATGTCTCGCAGGTTCACCATTTTTGCTGTTAGAATCGGACTCCAATGGAAGTTTTGTGTTAATTAAACTTGCTTAAGAGCAGGAACGTTGTCACCTCTCTGCTTTCCCATCCAGCTCCCTTACCGCCACAGTCCCCCCCACCCAGCCCCCTTCCCGCCACAGCCCCCAGAGCCGCGCTGGCTGGGGACAGGCCACTGCCTGGGGCACCCCAGGCCAGGACACGACTAATGAGCCAGCCACCTCTGGCCCTACTGCAGCAGAAACGCGCTCACTGCCATGTTTCTGTCAGGAGATTATGACAATAAAGACTGATGCGTCGCCTATGAGCAGAAACTCCCTCGTGCCCTCTCTCAGCGGCTCTGAGGGCGCCATTCCCGCCTGAGGAGACGGCGAGGGATGCGCGCGCGGCCCTCCTCCCCCCGCGGCCCCGCAGCCCCCTCA